ATATTCTTTAGGCCAAATGTCGATGCCTGTTACACAGAATTAAAAGGGCCTGATTTTCTTCTCTCTCTAGTACAATTTTACACCAGTATGTCACTGCATTGACTACAGAGGAGCTACTCCTGACTTACACCACGGAGAGTGGCGAATCAGGTCTAGCATCTGGCCCCCAAAGTAAATAAAAATAACAGGCAGGCACCACAGCTAGCATAAATTGATGTCATTCCATTGCAGACAATCGAGCTATGCTGAGTTACGCCAGCTCAGGATATGGCCGAATATCTGGTTTCTTAGCTGTGTATCAAGGCTCTTGGACAGTTCAAACTCAGGGCCTGATCCTGCAAAGTCCTAAGCCCATCGTACAAGGTTCTGAACATCCTTAGGGCTCAGTGGAGTGGAGAGGGCTCTGCACCTGGCAGGAATTGGCCCCTAATCTCCTGCTTCTATGTAAGTCTATCCCTTACAGGCACAGCCATTCATTGTGCCTGGTTTACAACCATCCCCTTTGCAGTTCCAGCTTGTTGAATGAGCTGTGTGGCTCTTTCAAGTTGTGTCAAACGGCAGAGTTTAAGGAAAGGGTGAAGGGGGGGAGGGAGGCGAAAGTGTCACAGCTCCTGAAGGTCTTTTTAAGAAGTTCCATTTGTTTGAAAGACGCTGACGTGCGAGGATTATGTGGGGAACAAATCAGCGGAGCGTTGCTAACTCTTGAGGCGATGCAGTTGCTCACGTCCGTCCGCAGTGGAGCTGATGGAGGGAGCTGGTGTTCTTGGGGAGGTGGGCGGGGGAAGGTGGACCAGGATCTTATTACACAATGGAAGAGAAAAGAGAGCAGCTTCCACTCATCCAACACAAAAGCATCAGAGGAAAAAGGGAGTTGATTGTTCATTTATCCCCCTAGATTTCCTGCCTTTGCTTTTTTCCTTTCCTCCAGGTTTCTACTTGACAATCAACATGATCTTTGGGAACAAATGACTATCTAATAGCAAATGTTAGTCAGTTTAACAAGATCTATTGTTGGAGATGGTATGAAGGGCTGATGCATGCAAGGTTAATTGGGATTTTTTTTTCTTATATGCATTATGTCCCAGCTGGAAAAAATAAAACAAATGTTTTGAATAGGATATAAGCCCTCATGCTTCGGGGCATAAACTAACTTCTAATTGAGAAGGTCAGGAAGAAATTTTCCCTATGGGCAGATTGTACCATATTTGCCAACTGCAGGGTTTCTTGTGCCTTTCTTTGAAGTGTCCATTACTGGACTAGATGGACTCTTGGTCTGATCTTGATGGTGGGGTGAGGGGAATATAAATCTTCATGCTTTAGGGCAAAAGATGAGGGAATTAGAAGAAACTTCCCCTATGGGAAGGTTATTCCACAAAGACCACTTCCTGTTTGTTGCACTTGTCCTGAATCATCCACAACCAGCCATAGGTGCTGGAACTAGGGGTGCTTTCACACCTCCTGGTTTAAAGTGGTTTCCATTATATACAGGGTTTACAGTTTGGTTCAATGGTTGCCAGTACCCCCTCTATAAAAATTGCTCCAGAACCCCTGCAACCAGCTTTTGTCAGAGACAGGACACTGCACTAGATGGACCACTCGTCTATTCCTAGTCTAACAATTTCTAATGTCGTCATTTTTTTTCTTATTTAGAACTTTTACACAAAATATAAGCCATGTCTGTGTTCCAGAGCCATAAGTAGTATGCTGATTTCAGGAGAAAGGACAGGAGGGGGTTTTCATCATGTGTTGGTATAATATGCATGGTGGCCATTTACTATCTGATATGTCTCTCAGCGAACTAGGGAGTATTCCTGAATGATACCTCCAAAGGAGCATCTTGCACATAACTCCCCAAGACTAGTCTCAGATTTGACACTGGCTCATTGTGTGGCCTCAAGGAACTCACTTAATCTCTCCTTGCCTCAGTTTCCCCATCTTTAAAACCGGGGTGATAATATCTGTCTCTCTTGAGGTTTAATTAAATGTTTGTAAAATGTTCTGAGCTCTTAACGTTTGCATGTGAGTTGATCAAATGCCCCATGATAGCCAGAGAGATTAAATTGTAACTACGTCTATTCCTATTACAATAGCCAGCCGCCTCCTTTCAATCACCTTTTGTAAATATTTGTTGTAATAGCTGGCTATTACCATGCTTCCTTCAGAAATATCTGACTAGTGTCGCTGTTAATACCTGCCGGTATCACTGCAAATAGGGTCTTTTCCAAAGCCCATTGAAGTCAATGGATCAGACCTCTAGTAACTATAACGGAAGTAATAATTCATTTTTTAAAAATTTACAGAATCTTACCAATCTGACCAGTTTATCATTTCCCATAGTCATTCATAGAAAGGGCTCTAAATATTTGTGAGCGCGCGTAGGGAAGAGGGGGAGGTTGGTTTTGGTTTTGCAAACTTCTTGCAGTAAATTGAAGCATTCAAAACTTGGCATGAAAACTGATCTTAGTTGTAGGGGGGGAGACAAAAATTCAGATTTGGAATTTGAAATTCAACGTTTAGGAAAATTCGCCCATCAAATAGGAACTAGATAGAGTGGTGATTCAGCTCCCTTTGAAGTAAATGCCAATGTTCCCTTTGATTTGATCAGAATCAAGCCCCATGGATCATTTTCACTTACAAACTGGACTGGTCCTATTTTTTCTAGGTGGAGAAACCCACAGTGTTTTTTCAGGTTTTAATGAAATTGGCGCCGTTTCACAAACCTGAGATGAAACACAAACCCCCTCTGTTTCAACGTTTCTGAATGTTTTCTGAACATCTGGTACGGCTGTAATTCTAACCCCCCAAGGCAGGAGTACAGCCCAGGGCCTGATCCTATTCCAATTGAAGCTGATCGCAAGTATACCAATGAGAACAGGATTTTGCTGCAAGGCCCCTAGCTTTCAGCTGCCTCTGTGGGTACATTGACACTGCAAATTAAAGTGTAATTGTAGCGTAGTTAGACATACCCATGCTAACTTTAGTCCACTGCTATTGTTACCTGCATTAGCCAAACACAGGATGGCACAGGCTTAGTTCCCCCAGTTTGACCCCACTGGGAACTCTGAGTCCACATTCAGGTTAGTAGCCTGAGTTGGGTCCTGCCATTGTTATCTGTGCTAGCTAAATTAAAGCTACTGTGGCTATGTCTACCATGCGATAACTACATCTTAATTTGTGGTGTCAATGTCTCCTGTACCTCTCTATGGAGAGGCTCCATTAAACTCAGTGGGATGCAGCAATATGACTTTGAAGAGACACTTGCAGAACCATAACGGCCCCATCTTCTTCACTGCTGCGTCATTCCCTATCCTTGGTATGAGAGGAAGGGTTGAGATCATGGCACTGGACTGGGATTCAGGACATCTGCGGCCTATTTTCTGGTCTGCCACAGACTCCATGTATTACCATGGACTAGTCAACTCAGTCCCTTTCTACACACAAACTTAATGGTTTAATGAAAGAGGTGTTTTTAAAACTGATTTAGTTACATTGGTACAAAACCCACTTTTATTTCTGTTTCATGAAGGGTTTACTTCTATTTTGTTTCTTACTGAATTAAATTTAAACCAAAGTAAGTCACTGCTAAGCAAAATTAGAGTGTCTTTATGGGCTTTTGGGCTGTGTTAACTAAATCAGCTTTTAACCCAATTTTCAAGTAAACGGGTGCAATCTTTTCATGCTGGCAAACTCCTAATCTCTCTGTTGCTACAGTCCTACATCTTGTAAAATGGAGACAATACTTTCCTTCCCCAAAGAAGCATTGTAAGGATAAACCTATTAGTGTTTGTGAGGTGTTCTGAGATCCACGGAATAGCAGCGTTCCCATCCCTCTGAGGAATGATACTTTATCTATTTCTATTTTTTTCCTGAAATGCAGAAATTAGATTTTATTTTTTTTTAAACCCATAAATCTTTCTTCCCCACACACCCTCCTGCCTTGAGGTTCAAGATCTAGGGCCAGCATTGCTTACTTTTAGGCCCCCTTAAAATCCTTTACACTGTCAGAGTGCTGTAAAGGGGCCCTGGTGCAAATAAGAACCAGGCCTCCAGTGTCTTAAACATCATTTGCTTTTTAAAAACCAAGCTTAAAATATGTTTTTCCTCTTCAGGTCATAAATTTGTCAAGTTTAAAACCAGCCACAACAAAAAAAAGTAAAACGATCAACAGTTGTTTCTCAAGCTTGTTCCTGTTCTATCATCCAAAAAAAGTTGATGATGAAGTGTCAGGCAGGAATACCCAGCTTATTAAAACAAAGTCAGCAAATGTTTGTTTATGGGAAAGGGGGTGGGGGGGAAGGGTGAGAGGACGTGCTGTTGTGAGCATAGGTCGAAGCATGTACTGTGGTTATGCACGGGTGGGTATCAATATACGTATTTGCGTGTTGGAGGGATTAGGGACTGTATGTATGGTCTGTTTGTGTGATGTGTGCATATTTGCATGTGATTGTGCATGAACTCTGTGTGTACTGCATATTTGGGGAGAGGGGGGTATATATGCACCGTGTATATAATCCATGTATGCATAGATGGGGGCCGTTATTTGTGTGCATGGCTGACTGGCAGTATTGACTGTATGCAACCTATGTGGCAAATATTCATTCTGTGTAATGCATGAAAATGCCTCTGCTTTAATTAGCTGATCCACTTATTTATAGATGATAGACTATAATGTCAGTGTTTTCCTGCAGTAGCTACTAAGTTACTTTTTAAAAAGCAGGTGATCTCGGGAAAGATTTAGGGTTGTCATGCAATTTCCTTGAGCAAAATTAATCACAGGAAGTTTTTTTTTGTTTTTTTTTTCCCCCGGTCTTCTGTGAAGATTTTTTTTTTTTTTTTTTTTATTTGTTTGGCAGGTCCTTTTAATTGGCTGGAAAATATTCTTCCTGTGAAGTTCCAGTGCTCTGGTGCTTGAATGAGCACAGCATCCCATTGGCTGTCTATACCACCTCCTGATTGGCTCCAGATCCTGGAGGGGGGATAGATAAGGCCGGCTATAAAAGCCCTGAGCTTTGCTCTTGGTCCCCCAGTGAGCAGGAGCTAGGGGTACAAGCGGAGCAAGGCTGCAGCAGTACCAAGTCCTTGACAGACTCCTTTCTCTGTGAGTGTATCCAGATCCACATCTTTGCTGAAGCCGAAGAAAGAGGAGACACTCACAAAAACTTAGCGGAAACTTGTCAGAGAATGCTCCAAAAGTCAGTTATTCTCCTGCTGCTGGTGATCAGTGCTTCTGCATCTTATGAAGCCGAACAGAATGACTCTGTGAGCCCCAGGAAAACCAGGGTTGCAGCACAGAATTCAGGTAACACCCCTCAAAGAGGGGCTGAGAGCCCTGATGTGTTTAAACTGTTGCAAATGTCTCTGCTGCTAAGCTTTGCTATAGACTGTCCCTTCGTAGCTGTTAGCAATAAATTATGTAAGCAAAAATCCTAGGAAACTGATTCTGTATAATAGTGATGCATAGCTACAGGAAATAATCTCATTTCAGGAGATGGTTTATAAACCAGCATGTAATCTGCTGTGTGTGTGTGTGTGTGTGTGTGTGTGTATGTAATAAAATATTGCAGATATTAAATGAGTTACATGCACTTTTTTTATGCAGGTTGAATGTTTTTTTTCCCCTGTCATAAATACACTTTAATGTTAAATTCCTTGCTTATTAGCAAGTTAAAGCTCCTTCTGCTAAATATCTGTGTATTCAAAGGTGGGAGGAACAAGATTTTTTTTCTAATATCACTTCAGCGAATGTAATAAGCTAAACGTGTCCACTGTTAACATGTAGTCTTAATTTCCTATAGATATTGGTCAGAATGGTAACATGACAATATGATAAGCACACTTATCTAACTAGCCTTTATTACAATAGGTGAGAGGAATAACTAGCAAGTCATCACTGAATGGCTCTACTTCGTGTGCTGTAGGTGTCCAGATGAACTGAGTACATTTTATGTTCTCTTAAGCAATGGAAAAATAAAAATCTGTCTTAAAAATATAAGGTAAAGACAGTGAGGAGGGATCTTCTAATTTGGAGCTCATTAAGAGCTGTTTTATTTTAGATCTGCAGGGTTTTGCAGTACTATATGAGGGTGTTTGCTCAATTTCCTTTTGTATTTGGTTGCTATAGAAACATAAGATCTCTCTCTAGTCCACTGTGCCTAAAACAATAAAACGCTAATGCATATTAAACCTGCTGAAAGCAAGGTTATAATCGAAACCTATCAAAACATATAATTATAAAAACAACTTGAGATGGCTAGGGGTGAATTAAGAATAGGATAATATCACATCTTTCTCTCCAGGTGTGTAAGTGGTAGTGGAGCACGGGCTGCATTTCTTTTTCCCTTGACAGATAGCAATTGTAACAGACCCCTCTTTCGACTAGGAGCTAGTTTTTTGGTACAGGTTTTCCTCTACCACTCTGCATTATATCCTCCAGTCACAGACATCTAATATCTTGATTTGAGACTCCAGGTTCACTCTCTTCCCTGAAGAATGTCAGTAACAAGATCTGACAAAAAGTAATGAATATGCCCTACACAGGGACATAATTGGACAGACATTCAGCTTGCTAGAAAAGGTTAATACCTGTTAACTTTAGGGTGGTAATACAGTTGGCTCATAGTTTCAATACACCCAATATCATTTTTTAATACAGAGAAATGTTTTATGTTTTGCCATTTACACACATTGGGGCCTATGTATGAATTATTTTAATTACACATTGATCTTCATTAGTTTAACTCTTTGGATCAAATGTTGATTCTATCTTCATGAAAACCTTTATCAGATCTGTGCTCTGCTTATGAAGAGCTGGGTACCATATTAATATGTAGCAAGTAACCAGGGACTATCTATGCTGCAGCTGGAATAATATATGGACTAAAACATTCTCCTTCCTAGCATGATAAAGTACTCAACACTAGTCAAAGCTTTTCTCCCTTCAAAATAGCCACAAGAATGAAAATGAAGTTATCACATTATTTATTTATTTATTTTGGCTAGTGTCCCTATGCACCATTGATTCCATTTTTCTCTTTCAGCCATTATATATGATCTAGATATTGTCAATTCATCATGACTGCCTTTCAGACTAATAAACTATTGGCGCTCCAGGGCTTTTAGCAGTATACCAAACATGCATAATCTCCACTAGTGTTTCTCCTTCATCTCTGCCTCAGATGGACTAACTTTACATTAAGTGGGCTCTACACCTTTTTTATTTAAAGGTTGAGTAAACTCAAAAAGTGGGATAAGTAATGGCTCAGGTCAATATTAAAAATGTTTCCTACTGGTCAGTTTCACTTAATTTGTAGGAGTCCAGGACATGCGACTGTCAGAAAATCTGTGTTCTATTCCAAGTTTTGCTGGTGGCTTATTGCATGACTTCAGTTAATACATGCCTGATATGTACCTCTTGTTTTTACTCCCTCCCCCCCCCCCAAAAAAAAAAATCCTGTGACACAGGACTATGTCTACAAGAGTCTTCTGCAACTTAATCATTGGTAACGTGCTTTGTGCCCTCAGATGAAGGGGGCTATGGAAGTGGGAAGCATTGTGTAATGTCCTATGCCTGTCTTCCAGCTGAAGTGGTTCGCTGTTTAAATAGTGCCCTCCAGGTGGGTTGCGGTGCGTTTGCCTGCCTGGAGAACTCTACGTGTGACACGGATGGAATGTACGACATCTGCAAGTCCTTCCTCTACAGCGCTGCTAAATTTGACACTCAGGTACAGTACAAGGCTAACCTCTTTTTCCTCTTTATTCAGGCCAGCTTTACACCCTGATTCAGCAAAGTGCTTGCTTAATCCCCATGGCACTCAAATGCTTGAAATGGAGATTTTAATAGGTCTGATCCTGCAATGGGCTCTGTACAGGCCACCCATAGTTCCTAATGGGCCTTGCTACTACTTAGATGCGCTTGTGGGAACCAGGACTTTGCTTTTTTGGCCACAAATCTATTCTTCAGGGAGATTTTCTACAGTACGTTTTCCACATAGTGTGTGCTGTGTGTGAGGACTTGGCAGAGGCCGTCTTATAGGGCAGAGAGCTAAATTTCCTCTTCAGGAGGAAATATAAACGTTCTTCTAACAAAGTCACTCTTCTGACTGTGTAACCTGGCACGGATGTGTGATTTGAATTGGAAGCCTTCAGCCCTGGGAATGCAAAACCAGTTCAGCCTGACTCTCTGGAGCTGCAGATTTTTTTTTTCTTCTTTTCACGTGGAATAGCTAGAGAAAGGGCATAAGTAAAGGATCGTAGTCTTGGCTCTGCTAGGGACGTTTACTATCCTCTATAAAGTGGGCATAACCATCTCTTCCAATAGGGGAGGGTGACACTATTTGGAAGATCTCAGGGTGCCGTAAAATGAAACACCCCACATCAGGATGTGAGCCTCAAAGCCTGCTTAAAGGTTGGGGCACTCAGCACCTTACAGGATTGGCCCATATATATGCAATATTGCTATCACACAGCTGTGCCACTAGCATCTTAGACCATTTTGATGCTGTTGCTTAGACTGGGAAACTCTTTGGAACAGGGAGTAAGTATTGTGTTTGTACATTGCCCAGTACAATTGGGGCCTTAATTCTGAGGGGGACCCCTGGGCATTAATCAATAATTAGGAATACAAGCCCGTGGAACAAAATGCCTTGACCATAAATGGGTTTCTTTATTGCTGAGTAAGCTTTTGACACAACACTTAAATCACAGCAAGGATAAATACCCTGCTTTTGCTAATTGCTGCTATGTGTTAACATTTTATGAATTACTTATGCAGTTGCACATTCAGATAATGCTGTTTCTAAATTTGCAGGGAAAAGCCTTTGTGAAAGAGAGCCTGAAATGCATTGCAAACGGAGTTACGTCCAAGGTTTTCCTTGCCATTCGGAGGTGTTCCACTTTCCAAAGAATGATCTCGGAGGTGCAGGAGGAATGTTACAGCAAACTGGACATGTGTAGCATTGCAAAGCGTAATCCTGAAGCAATCACTGAAGTTGTCCAATTTCCAAATCACTTCTCAAACAGGTACGTGGATGTTTCCTTATGTGAAACATACAAAAACACAAAATGAAGCACATTTAAAGGGATGTTCTCAACCTGAGTCTATTTTTTTTTAATTTTTACATGTTCCAGATACAGCTCACTTTAAATAGTACTTCCTGGTGTTTTAAAATACTCTGAATCAGATTTTTTTTCTGACCCCCTGCTCATGTTTATAAATTCTGTACATCAGGTGGGAAACAGTAAAACTAGCTAGACAAAGAGCTCTGAAAGGCACAAAGTAAACTTAAAGCTGAGAATTCTTTGGTTAACTGTGTTATACTTAGCAGACGTGTTACCTATAGCGATGGATGGTAGATAACTACATGTCTGAAAATGTTGCGAGTGTCCCTTTAATTCTTATGCTGAACATCTTAGTGAATATTGCAGCTTAATTTCCTCTCAAGGCAACTCCGCCTCTCTTCAGTAAACAGTCTCATTCTGTGTTTAATATAAATAACTGAGAATGCTTTAAAGGGTGCACCAGCTAAAGGGCTCTTCCATGACTTTGTTGTCATGACCCATTAGGTTATGGGATTCTGAGCATTCCCTACTCCCAGCCTCCTGATAAAATAGAAGGTTACTGTCATCTCTAGAACAAGGCAGGGTAAAGCTAGTGTGGGTATGTCTGGCCATGCTGCAATCATGACGTCTACATTGCAGTCAGAGGTCTCTTCAGTTTTTGCAATGTTATAATTATTTTGACTTGGGGGGGTGGGGGGAGGAGAAGGAGGAGGAGGGCAGGATTGTACTAGTACAATCCCTAGTGTGTATACAGTTACTCCCAATATAAGGGTGCTAAGGATAACTCTTACTCCTATGTAGGAAAGGGAATGCTATAAAACACCTGTATAACTGCATCTACCCCATGGTGGGGGTGTTGCACCACGTAACTATACTGCTACAGGCATACATAGACAAGCCCTTAATTTTATAATCCCTTGGGTATAAATGTTTAACTTGCACGCATGAAGAGTTCAGGTGACTGACACTCTCTCTACACCTTGTGTGGACACTTACACAGAGTGTGTGTGTGTAAACACACTAGCACTCTGAAATGGTAGAACAGGTGTAAGTCACGCCACAAGGTGCAAAGCAAGTGGAGAATCAAACCCTAGAACAAGGTCACTGTTCCTTAAGACACACGTCTTGGGATAATATGTGGTAAAGGAAACTACTCCACACACAGCCTTGGACTAGCGGTGAAGCAAAAGGATATTGTAACATGTTGAGTAACAAAAGAAGCAGGATTTCCCAGCTAATAGTTTACACTAAGTTCTCCTAAAGCATCCTGCTTTCCCAGCCCAAGTCCCAACATAGACACAAAATAAGAATGTGCCGGTTGGCACGGAATTCCAACAGGAAGTAGTTAAAGGGTCATGCAGCTTCCTGTGATTTAATCTCAAGTCAGTAGCTGTGAAGGAGGAAGGCCTTTCTGCCTCTGGACATGCTGTAGCTACTGAAATTAAAATTCATGTATTTAATAATCTTCTTAAAAAACATCAGATTGTATTTCTATCCAGTAACTTTGAGTGCTGGAGAGATAGCTAAGGCATGGAATAGGGTGTAGGCAAGGGAATAGAATCTGAAAGTTTAATTTGATGATAAACACAAGATCATCATCATCATCCAATAGAACCTCTTCTGCAAAGGATACTAACCTGAGCAAAACCTGACCCCAGGAAGAAGAGATGTTTTACTAGGCAGTTCCCAATCACTAGCTTCTGTGGTGCACGTATACATCTGCAGCAGCACAGAATAAAATGGACAACATTCTCTCATACATATAACCTACATATAAAGTGTAAATTCTTTATGAAGGGTAAAGGATCAATAGAGGTGTTCATAAATGGCCACAGAGTTGTCTGAATCCAAAAAGTCTCTAAATTATCTAACATTAGGGCTTTTCTATAACCTCTCCTGATGTACTTGTAACCACCTGTAACTACAGCTGTGCAACGAATGAATATTTTTGGTTCTCTGAAAATTCACCCCTCAAAAAATTATTTTGGTTCAACCTCAAAATGAAATTTTTTGAAAATCTTTGCATCATTATAGAAGACTTTTTTTTTTAAACTTTTTAATGTGCCAGTCAGATTAAGTGGGATTTTGTTTTCAAATTTTTAAATAAAATTGAAGGAAACTTTGAAACAGAATGTGTAAACTTTTTTTCAGAATTTTTGTTTGCATCAAAAAACAATTTGGTCACCTCAACGTGAATTTACGGAATGTTTTGAAGTTGCCAAATATGCATTTTTCTCCACGAGGAAAAAAAAAATTCCACCCAGCTCTACCTATAAACATAGTACTTTGCTTATGACCTCTACCCCTTTGTAAACTTCATAGAAAGTGTCACTCAGAACTCCCTAATGGGATCTTCTGAGTTAATGTTAGTATCTTACTCCAAACTCCCAGGCCTTTCACTTCACACTACAGGTATAGCAGTTGAGGAAGAAGCCTGAGGTAACATCTGTGAAAAGAGCACTGTGTCTTTTTCCTCTTCTCTACCCTGTGGCCTTCTATCCTGCCCACATCCTCCTTAGATGTGGTAATATGCTCCCCATTATCCTCCTGGGCAGTAGCCCCCAGGACTTCTGATACTGCTACACTTCCTACTGATCTCCTAGAGAACAAATTGGAGGATTGCCCTGCACTCTTAAGTCCCCTTAAGCAGACAGCGCAAACCTGAACAAGTGATAGGAAAAATCAACACAGCTCTCTCTCTGATTCCCATGGAGGAGAATTCTTTTGAGCACTGTTCTTTCTCTGCTTGACTCAAACAGAGATGGGGACACAGATCAGCACAAATTCCTGGCTCTCTCTCATAAACAGGAGAGCAAGGAAAGCATACTCTCAGGGCCTTGTGCTAAAATAAGATTCCACAGTAGAGGGTAGAAACTGCAGTCACAGGCCCTGTGGAAGGCAAAAGGGCCTGATTAAATTAACCAACTTTCTCATCTTCAGCATGTTACTGCTGGTTGTAAATCCAAAAATTCATCCCATGAGGAATGCATGCGTTTGTCAAGCTATTCGACCTACATTGACCTAGTTTTCTTCAACCCTTTCTAAAGGCTATATAGAAGGGGGGAAAGGGTTGGTGTCAAATCTCCATAGAAGAGTCCTAAGAAGCATATAGAAATTCAGATTCCTTTATGAGTGTACATACCACATCAGACCAATGGTCCATCTAGTCCAATATCCTGTGCAACAGTGCTCAGTGCCAGATTTTTGAGGAAGCTGCAAAAAAAGCCCTAAGGTAAACAGTTAGAGAATAATTTTTGCATAGGGAATTTCTACTCTGGCGCGCATAATGATCTATATCTTCCAAAACTTATTTCTGTCCATTATCTATCTATTTTGAGCTTATGGTCTTGATATTACACTTGTTTGTGGGGATGAAATAAGGCAATTTACAATTTTAATGGTTCTTTACTAGTGAATAAGTCCTGATAAACGTGACCACCTTGATACCTTTGCTCCTAGTCCAACACCAACTTGCCAAAAAAATCTGAGAGTATCATTTACTAATTAGAACCCAAATTTGTGTATTTACCATTCAGAAGCGTAACAGGAGCATGGCTAGGACTAGTTAACCAAAACTAGAATTTTGTCCCAGAAACACATGTACTGTCACTCCATGAATCAAAGATGGAGATGCATATATGGTGTTAAGTCTCTGGGATAGAGAGCAATCTATGTAAGTTGATGCTAGTATTATAACTTGCGCATTTGCTGTGAAACTGTTACAGAGCAGGACCCCCTTGCAGTAATAGCTTACAATTTCAGCACAGTCCTCAATACACCACAAAAACCAACCCTGACAATTCCAGTTCTCTCTCAGCAGTACAACTTTTCTGGAGTAGTCTCTTTCAAACTGATTTGCTCTAGCTTGGGATCAATTCTCTCTCCTGTGCTATTACCTCAGTAACTGTCTTGTTCATTTACCCAGGTATTACAACAAGCTCGTGAGAAGTTTATTGGAATGTGATGAAGAGACTGTCAGCACCATCAAAGACAGTTTGATGGAGAAGATAGGACCCAACATGGCCAGCCTCTTCCATCTGCTGCAAACAGATCACTGCTCTCAAACGCACCCCAGAGCAGACTTCAACAGGCGACGTATCATTGAGCCTCAAAAGCTAAAAATCTATTTCAGGAACCTCCGAGGTGAGGGGTCTATTCCATCCCATGTGAAACGTACCTCTTCAGAAAGTGCATAATTCCTTAGGGGAGAGAGAATGGGTGTGTAGGGGATCTAAGCACTACCAATATAGAAGCCTCTTTCTCTAGAAGAGTTAATACACCCATCCAAATGTACTGTAGGCTGATTTTAACAACAATTAGAAACTGGTTTTAGATTTAGTCGTTCATATTTTCTATCCCTCTCAAACAAATTTGCATGGAACTAGGCTTCTGTGTTCAATGTCCCAGCTTTCTGCCTTTGAAATTTCTCCATCTCTCTTCTCTTACCCCACCAAAAAAAAGGAAAATCATAAACCTAGGCTTTTACAACAGTGAGTAATTCAGCAGATATCAAATTATCAATTAACTGTAGCTCAAACACCCTTGCAGTTTGAAACCAATTCAAATAGTTTTAACCTTATGAGGCTGGTAGGTGGCGATAGCTTTTAATGGCTCTATCCTAAAGATATCAATGGAATTTGTGTTATGAATCTGTGCTGGCCATGGACGAATATGAATGTCATGTTTGGATTCTTTGTCTCTGTGACACACAGTCTTAATCCTCTGTCATAAAACTCCCTTGCCCAGTTAATCTACCACAATCAGGTCTAGCACTCACAAAACATGGAGGACTGTTTGTTTAGTACTGCCCTGCATCTCAGTGCAAAAACTACTAGCAAATCAGACTAGTTGCACTGTGAAAATGACAGCATGAGGTGCAAGACCATGTGGTCAAAGCGATTTTAAGTTGGTCAGTCTTTGCAGTGGTTTAAAAACCCCAGCATCTTTATGTACTGTATCTAACTGTTACAAGCTTTAAAAGAATCCTTAACAAAATTGTCTTAAAACTAGAGTATTAAAGGTCTTGCTCTAACTGTGGTATACATAGTTTAAAAATCTGTCATGTACTGTACATAAATTCCAGAAGAGTCTGCTTAAAGAAGCAGAATATAATAATTTTATTGCATATAAATTTAGTTTTGTACCTTAGCTTTATTTTTTCCCTTGGAAACAGTATCTCTATCATGTTCAAAAGTACACATTCCTCACTGTGGCCTTTTTATAATGAAAGAGAGAAATTGTTTCATCATGTATTAGAATTGGATCTGGCAAAAAACTGATGAGTAGTTATTCATACTCGCTGATCGGCTGGATTCTGACTGCCCAAGCTACCTTCAGGGGTTACCATGGTACTTAACTTGCATCCCAGGCAGAAGTACTACTAAAAAGCTAATCTGGGAATTGTCAAAATGGCTGACAGAACAACTCTTAAATATCACGGCTGCAGCCTTTGGAAGGGTCACTTCTGAGGCACGACATGGAAAATAGAGCCCTGTTTGGTATGCCTAAAGGTAGCCGGCAATCCAAAAAATGAAACTCCTCAAATCCCAACACATGCATCACTGTGCCTGTTGCAAGCCACTTGAAACGCACGGCCTGCAAGCCTGCGTTTCCTACTATGCTCTTCTGTAAAAGAGGCTCTGAACTGAGGCTTACAAGTTGATTTTTTTTTTCTTTCCCCACTCATAGCTGAAGGCTAGAGCAGCTTTTCTGAACAGTAGTCTGTCTTGGGTTCTGTATGCCAAAAAAAGCAACCTTGTGTTGTGTCATGTGAGCAGCAGGGCTGATTCCACACGCACATTCCAAAATCTCCCCAGTTAGAAACTACTTCTGGTGGGTGGCTGACTCTGGTTCGGCTAGTTAAGAAGCTAATCAAGTTCTGTAAAAAGCTAACGGGAGGGACATCTCTTTTTGCAAAATATAAAGCAATAGAACTTTTTAACCACAAAGCCTTTAAACAATGACTTGCTGCTAATATATTAAAACCAGATGCAGTGGCAGCATTTCCAGAATTGCTGTCTTCATTAAATGTAGCCCAAAAGTGCTGTCGTAAAATTGTAAGCAGCAAAAAACATTGCTGACAGCAATTTTTCTTTTTACATATTATATATATATATATATATATATATATATATATATATACACACA